CCTTTGAAGATACAAAGGTTGTACAAATGAATTTGAAATAATATGGTGATGAAATATTCACTAATGGTGACAGCTTGCTTAGTTTATCGATCACCCCCACACCATTTTGAAAGGAAAAGACTGACCACATAATAATAAACTCTATAGAATTGTCCATATCCTACTGAAAGCTTTGTTCTTTCCTGTGCTCACGACACTATATTTTTCTGAGTACAAGTTTGATTCCAAAGCGTGCAGCTGCAATTTCATTGGGGGCATTGATTATAGTGAGACTTTCTCTCCAACATTATCAGAAAAAAGAAAAAGAAAAAAGATTCTTTTCGAATCTTTGTGGCATTAATTGGTGCATGCCTCACTTTCATATTGGAGGATGTTAAAAAGGTTTCATTATATGGCATGGAGAGATATTTACGAGTAATAAGTTTATTAGTGCTTAGTTTCAATGATCATACATAGTAAAAGCAAAATTCTTAAATCTGACATGAAATTCGATATTATCACTAAGTTGCATTGACCTTTCTTGATGTTTAGACAAATTACACATAGATAATGCGTTTCACCTTTATTATTTTGACATTTCCTAAGATTTGGCATATGTGCTCAACCACAACCTCTGCCGTTAATGTCCTTTCCTTCTATTAAAAAATCTCAATAACTTTATATTTTGAAGTGAAATGATAAAAATATTATGAAATGCAAAATCAATTTTCATATTTATTTTATATTATTAAATTTTACAAAAATAATATTTTTTTATTAATGACATTTAATTAGATTTCTTTTTAGGGTTTGATTAAGTTCCTTCTTCTTCTTTTTTCAAAAATATAAAATATGAACATCAAATTAAGTTCAGAAAATTACAAGTTTGATTCCAAATCGTGCAGCTGCAATTTCATTGGGGGCATTGATTATAGTGAGACTTTCTCTCCAACATTATCAGAAAAAAAAAAAAGAAAAAAAAAAAGATTCTTTTCGAATCTTTGTGGCACATGCCTCACTTTCATATTGATCAGTTGTTTCATTTGATCGGAGGATGTTAAAAAGGTTTCATTTTATGGCATTGAGAGATATTTATGAGTAATAAGTTTATTAGCAAGCTAGTTTCAATGATCATATAAAAGGAAAATTCTTAAATCTAACTGTTGCAATTACTCAGGATGTTGGATTTGAAAGACTTGTATATCTTCTTTTTCTTTTTATTATTGGTATAGCGAAATTTTTTTGTCGTCTTCACCTGTCAACGCTCGTCAAATCATGTTAAATGACCTGTCAACGCTCGTCAAATCACGTTAAATCTTTCTTTTTAATATGATTATGGGGTTCAAGGTTTTTCGCATTGTTTCAAATTCAGGCTTGGTTGCTTTTGTGCTAGCTAGACATGAAATCCGATGTTATTAGTAAGTTACATTGACTTTTCTTGAGGTTTGGACAAATTATACATAAGTAGTGCGTTTGACCTTTATTATACATAAGTAGTGCGTTTGACCTTTATTACTTTGACCTTTTCTAAGATTTGGCATATGTGCTTAATGACACCCTTTGCCGTTAATGTCCTTTCCTTCTATTAAAAAACCTCAATAACCTTATATTTTGAGGTGAAATGATAAAAATACAATGAAATGCAAAGTCAATTTTCATATTTATTTTATATTATTAAATTTTACAAAAATAATATATATTTTTATTAATGACATTTAATTAGATTTCTTTTTAGGGTTTGATTAAGTTTCTTTTTTAAAAAAATAAAAATAAAAAAAAGGTATGGTAAGTTTTTACAAGATGGGAGAAAAATAAAAAAAAGTTAATAAAGTCAGTTGGTTTGATAAATATATATATATATATATATATATATATATATATATATTTATTTATTTAAACTATTATTAAACTAAATAAGAATATGAAAGATATTTTATACATTTTTTTTTTTTTTTTTTTGAAAGGTAAAGATATTTTGTACTTTTAGGGTAGCTCAAAGCAACAAAGATTAAACAGTCTATTCATATATAATTTGTCCAAATTTTTAAAAAACTTAGCAATTTACCTGATATCATTCCATAACTGGGAAAGTTCTATTGAAAGGGTGTGAAAGATAATACCACTAGCAGTTTCTTTCACAATCTAGGGATGTTTGTCACTTGTGAAGCTACTATTGAAGCAATTTGTTTGGTGTTGTTTCATTTCAGACCTTAAAATTAATTGTTTATATTATTTTACAACCACTGTATGATGTTCTATGATTATAACGTGACAGAAGATAAGAGTTGAAGTGATTCCAAGCATATGAAGACCATATATTTGATAGGGGTGTAACAAATATATGAGGTTAATTAAGAGAGGACAAAAATGATTAAGCACATCGTTCCATAATAGGGGTGTACCAATGGTTGGCTCCATCCAATTCCAAACCAAATCACCTTTTCCCCATTATTTATTTAAAGTTCAGGTCTGATATTGGGCTAAGCTTTTATCCAATTTGTTTGAGGGTCAGGGTTGGTTTGGCATGCGTTTTGTGTTATGTATTGTATTTTTGATTAAAATAAATACGGTATTTTTGTTATAAAAATGTTTTGAAAAAAAAGTTGAAAGTACGTTTGGGAACAATATTGTACTGTGAAAATGTCGGAAACAAAAGCACGCACAGTTATAGTTTTGGGCATGAACAGTTGTCAAAATAAGAAAAAAAATATCTTTTTGGTTTTGAGTCATTGTTCACGAAGTATTTTAGCACTATATAAAATAAAATAAGGTCGCACCAAACATGTTTTTATTGCCAAAATTGACATTGTAGCAGCTCCAAAACAAAAACAGCAAAAACAAAACGCATGCCAAATAGGGCCTTAATTCTGACGTTCTGAGTTTGACTCTTACAAAATACAAAAGTACCCGAATTTAGATGATACGTATAACGTCTGAGGTTTACCTTATAACCATATATATATATATATATATATATAGTTCTGATTTAGCTTAAATCCAACAAGAGGGCACTTAACGGATGGGTAAAGCTGCCTAAAATGGATCTTTACTTAACACACATTTTTCCTGTATATGGGCATGCATTGAAGTGACATAAAATTGGGTGGATTAAAAAGCTGTAATGATCTCTAATTAAATTGGCCACCCATTAAACCCAACATTGATTCCTTCAATAGCGACTTGTCATGAGGTGGGTTGGAAATATCTTGACAAAACCACCTCCGTTGATACAAACCTTCATGAACATTGTACATAATAATAACAACAACTATAATACCAACAACAATGACAATAGTGTGTGAAATATAATTGAGTGAATGTGATTTATCAACAGCTATGTCGGGCAAATCTCATCAACCAATCAACTTCAGCGAGTTGCTACTTTTTTTTTTTTTTTTTAATTGTGTACATATTTATGTGCATATGAGAACGGAGGAGTGTTAAAAATAATTACACAGTTGGAATAATAAAACTCAACAATTACAGTTGAAATTATAAGACTCACATCTTTAGAATTATAAAACTCACAACAATCACAGTTGAAATTCTAAGACTCACATCCAGCTTAGATTACACAATTATGATTTTATAGTTTCTCATGTGTTACCAAGAATCAAACAGAAGGTAGACAACTGCTAGCCCCCAAATAAAAAATCCAACCAAACCACCAATTATCAAGCGTGCATGCATGGTTTGTGAGGTGATGGGCAACTCTACACATAGAAGCAAATATCTGAACAATTAATTACCATATATATATATATATATATAACAATTTTCCCCTCTTATCCTCTACCAAACGAGTGAAACACCTTCATTAATTCATCTTCCTCTTACCCTTTTCCTTCCAATATATTCTCTCCTTTCTCCCCCTTCTTTTTCCCCTTTTGCTTCCAATATTCCTCTCCTTTCTTCCCCTTCCTTTGACCCTTTTAGTTGCAATATTCCTCTGCTACCAAACAGGCTGTTATATGCCCTGCACACGTGCATTAATACGTACAACATCTTGAGTTCAAAAGATGCGATTTAAGTATAGTTATTTGAGAGGCCAATGTTAGTTCATGAATCAACAAGAAATGGTATATATATATATATTGTCAAAATTAATGATATTAGAAATTATACCAACCAAACACAACCAATTAAGAGTGAAAAGGAAATGTGTTAATTAAGAAAAGTTAAGGTATGTAATGAAAAGAATGTGGAGACGAAGGAAAAAGTGGAAGAGACTTTGGACGTGACGATTGTCTCCCAATATTCGAAAGAAGTCGACATCAAATGAAGCTCCTTCTTGCAATGGAGGGTCCCTAAATTCACTATATACATACAAGCTTTATACATATATACATAGATTCTAAAATCTTAGCTAGCTCTCAAAGATCTTTGATCACTATAAGGTCACAACACAATCAATTTCCCTCCATTTAATTCCATCAATTCAGATTGTAATTAATTAATCAAGCTTCTAAGACTAACAAATTCTCACTAAAATAATTAAAGTACTATTTTGGTGACCCCAACAAAGGAAAAAGGCAATACTTAAATTGAGGTAAAGTGTTATCAAAATTTGCATTGTTAACTAATGTTATCACATTAGTTAATAATGACATGGTGGTGTTAAGATACATAATTTATCATTAGAATTTTGTGAGACCTCGAGAGATATTAGAGGGATTCGAGAGATTTCTATTTGTTTCGTAGAAAATGATGAAATAAAATAATACTTATAGTTGGGTCAAAAACAATACAGACGTAACTTTTGATGTTATTTTATAAATTAAATTGACCATTCTCAAATTCAAGACTAAATTTGTGCATCAAATTTATCAAATCCAATTAAACTTTTATTGTATTGAACAACGATCCCTATATAAATTTATATAATCCCATATTGTTGCAAGAGTTGAAGGTTGTTTTTTCATGACAACTTTCATGATAAGGCTGCAATTTTCAAAGGAAATGTTGGAGTAAATTCTTGTAGTCAGTCATTTTTCACGTGGCTTTGTATTGACATATATAGATTCTTGGACTAGAAATGATAGAAAATGTAATTAACTAGAGAGATTTTCTTTTCCTAATAACTGACTACAAACACCATTTTACAACTTTACTAGGAAAGACAATTCATAAAAAATAAAAAAAAAATAAAAAAAAAAGAAAAGAAAAGAAAAAAAGGATTCAAATCGTTTTGGTTCTATTTCTTCTCTTCTTTCTTGATATTTCCATTTCCATTTCCAATTCCTTGATCCACCATGTTTCTTGTCTCTCTTCTTTCTCGAGCTAGCAAGAGTTCCATTTCCATGATTCTGAACATTAATTTCAATTCCTCTTCATAGCCCAAGCAGAATGTAGTAGACAAGTGTGATTGGCAACGCGATTAGCATCCCGAATATGACACTGTAATTCAAATAACTCATGAGAGATCAGTACATGACAGAAAGGAAAAGGAAAGAGAGGAAAAAGATAAGAGAGGAAAGGAAAAGAAAGAGATCATATAGATGTTGTACTCACCCTGTGCTAAGAATGTCAGGGTGTACATTGTATTCCTTGGCAAAGACAAAGGGTACAATTCCTTGTGGTAGAGCAGCCTGTTTTTTGTGTTTGGCAATCCAAGCACATGAAAGAGAGAGAGAAAAGAAATGTAAAATCATGTTAACACAGGACATGCATGTCTGTCCCACACAAAAGTCCCCAAACATCCCCATTTTAATAATAATACAGATAAATTAAACAAGTCCCTACTTTATTCTAATTTCCCTTTTCTTTATTGTGCTCTGCTACTATTAATTACTTTTTCCAAGTCTATCTTGCTGTCTCGAGAGAAAGTTTTTGTTCTTTCACATTTACAATGTTTGACTGATGACCAAAAGTAACTGAAACCACAATGTGATATACCATGTGTGTGTCTCTGGTCTAAAGGGAAATGGTGGGTGAGGACAGAGAATTTACTTTTTACCAGTTGTAAAGTGGTAAAAATCTCATTATTAATGACCATCATTCTAGGCAATGATAAAAGTTAGGGTTAATCATAACTCTTACCATCTTCACTTCCTATTTTCATCACTCACTATTCACTTACTCCATACTCAGAAAAGTGAAGTGGAGGTAGTAAATTTTGACCATTACCCTAAATTTAATTGAAGTTAATAAATTAAATAGTGAATATTGTATGAGTAAAAAATCACTTAGGTTATCATATTCACGATGGGACTACATATGACGTCATATTTTATTAAAATTAAAAGAATATAGGTAGTAATAGCCTTTTAAAATTGTAAAATGTTGGGAGATTAGATATTCAAGTTGATTGGTGTGTCAGTAGGAGGCAAGACACATAGGTGTGGGTGACTGTGTGTGTATATATATAGATATATAGAGAGAGAGGGAGGATGTGGAGTATGACCTGTACAATGGCAACGTGTAAGAGGACTCCACGAAGTCCAACAGCAATGGAAGCAGCTGCCATGACAGCTGGACCTGTAAGGAATCTGACGGCCATAGTAAAAGCTGCAATAGAATTCCCACATGCTATGATCCTCGGTTGCAAAGCCATGAACAGACCTGTCACCAATCAATCAATGTTATCACCACCACACACACTACACACACAGTCACTCACATCCCCCACTCTCCACAGACATTTTCTTCCCTTTTCAAACACCTTTCATCATCACCCACCACACTACGCTTTGTTCAAGCTAAGCCTTAAAGGTCATTTCACTTCATTTATATACTATCGAATGTCCCCAACCTTATCACATCATATCACACACAAAATAAAGAAAAGATAGAAAGAAAGCATGCAAGTGTATAGTAGCAGACAGGACATGCATTATCATCTCCACAACACTGTTACTGTTTCATTACTTTGCTTTTAACTTGCTTTCTTAAAGATTTTAATGATGAAAAGCATGAATTAATAAGTGGTTTAATCAAGAACTGACCTAGACTGAACATGGCCATGCCTAGTCCTGCATCAGACAGTATGGAAATGGACTTTGCTATTATGGCAGGCATCTCAACATTCCACCTGCACCAAATCACAAATTAACCAACAAATTAAAGAGATAGTGATTTTAAAGGAAAAGCCGAAGAGTTTGAACAAAATAAAGAATTGACGATTCTCCGTCCGTTAGATAAACTAAATAGAGTACAGTGGGATTGACCATATCAATTGAATGGATAGCTTTCGATTCTTTATTTGGTTTAAATTTTTCAGCTTGAATATCATTACTCTTGAAGAAAATATTAATAAATCAGATGTCCAAGACTAGTTTTCATAGATTGATTACCTGAATGAAACCAGAGACCATGTAAGGCCAATCAAGCTTGAGTAAGTGTTGGGATTTCTGATGAGTTTCCTCCAAACCATGATCAATATAAGCCTTGTCATTACACTTGTTGGAGGCATGGCCTTATTGCCTTTCCCATCTCCACCTCCACCTTTTTGATGTTGATCACCTTCATGGTTGTTCATTTCTCTCTCTAAACCTCTATTACCAAAGCTAAAATCATCTCTCTCCACCATGTAATTGTCCTCTTGATTGTCTCTGTGAGCCTCCACTGATCATAGTAACCCAAACACAATCACAAAAACCCATCAGAAAAATTAATTAATCTAATTATTAACTGTACGTCACACTGAAAGAAGTTCACTAAATAAATAGAAAGTTTAGAAATTAATTAAACTACCTTTTCCTGGAGAGACAGAAACTCTGACTTCCTTAGCAGACTGGTCTAGGCCTCCTCCATATTCATGGCTTCCAAACACATCAGAAACAGGAGATGCACTTGAACTCCAAACAAACATGTGCAGATCTCTTGTACCTTCCTCTGCCTTCTGCACAGCTTGTCCATTAGGCTTCTTGGCTGCTGCATTAGCCCCAACCCCTTTGGATGCCCCTGTGGGAGAAAACATCCCCGGGTTAGGCGCCGGATAATGCGAATTCCCGGGCGGTGGCGGCGCGTGGTAATGAAATCTTGATTTATTCACATTGCCACCCTCTTCCTCGTAGTTAGACGGCCTCGGCGTCGGTCCCCTCGACGCCGGAAGCCCATAAACGTCTGATGCACCGAAGTTAGAATTCCGGCCACCGGCGACCATGGAGTAAAAATCTGTGTGATTGAAGCTTGACCCTCTTGGAGTTGGGTTCCGAGAAGACTGCAGAGAATATATCTCTGCATTGGTGAGATTCGACGGCCTTGGCGTCGTCGACGACAAGCCCTGAGACCTCCTTGAGTAGATGTCTGATCTTGAAGCATTGGATTTTCTCACAGTAACATGTAATTTACCATCTTCTTTGATCTCTGCTTCAGTCTCTAGGGCTTGTCTTCCATCCAATGACATGACATCAGAATCAACGTGGATGGAGACAATTGAGCCTGCAGTGTCTGGGAATTGCTCAGAGATGAGCAACTTTGCGCCTCTGTATTCAAACATGAAGAGCATCAAAGTGTACCATATGATACACTGAAGGACCACAATTTGGACCATTAAGCTACCAGAGAAGTCACCATACATGCCCTTGAGCAGAGGAATGCCCATGACCAGAGTGTTTGGGAGAGTGGAAACTGAAAAGAGTGTAATAGTCCATTCCAAACAACCCCTTTTGCTCACCTTACTCCACACAGCTAGCACTGCCAGCACAATCAGCTTCTGGAGGGTGTCCGCCGCGATGAACCGTAAGTTCATGGTGTAAGGATCATTGGTGGAGATGAAGTGGAAGGAGAGAAGAGGGACGGCGAAAAGCGCGACGAATCGGTTTATGCCGGAGCATTGGTCAGGGGAGAAGATTTTCCACCATTTCACAGAGCCATAAGCTAAAATCATGGCCACATAAAGTGGAACAACTGCTGTCATGACATGGTAGAAGTCTGATAGACTGATCATGTTTTCTTAACAAATCAGAAGAATGTGTTTGTGTATATGTCTGAGAGAAATAAAGAGAGAAAATGAAGATTGATTGATGGTTGAAGATGGGTGTGTTGATAGTAGATAAGTTGAAGAAAATGGAGGAGCATGTGGGTTTTGTTTTATGGGGTTGTGGGGAGTGAGCAGAGAATGAAAGAGATTTTAATTTAGAATATTGGAGAAGGAGAGCTTTGAGAGTTGGGAACAAGCTTGCACTTGCAGTCTCCAAAGCAGCAGGGTGGGGGTGGGGGTGGGGGGTGTTTCTAAATTTAGTTCTCCTTTTTTTTTTTTTTTTTTTTTTTTGCTCTTGGTTTTGAGCTGTGTGTTGAGAGAGAGAGAGAGAGAGAGAGAGAGATGGGTGTGATTATTGATATAAATTGGTAAGTTGGTGTGTGGCTCTATCTTCAATGGATTAAAGGTGGTATAAAGTTTAGAAAAAGCATTTTGGTTGGAGGTGGTGTGTCTGTAAGTACTTGTTTGGGGAGAGTCACTCTTCCCTTTCTCCCTATTTCTGTCTTGGATTCTCTTTTTAGCTCATGGGCTGTTGATGGGCTATGGCTGTGCTTATATGTATTTATTCTACTTGTTTTATATTTTGTTTTCCCTTTTTAATATCTAAAATCATTTTTATTTATATGTATGTTACTAATTATGTGAAATTGATTATATTATTACAATATTACCTCTAATTTAACCTTTTTTTTAGATGATATCTATCTATCTATATATATAAAAATATATTTTATCAGGTAAAGTACTCGCACATACGTTGCCTATGTCACTACCGAACCTCACCCCTCCTCTTTTCAGAGAAGTTGTACCATTAGGTAAAATACCCACGTACACAATGCCTGTACCACACATAGAACTCCACCCACCCATCCTTTTTCTTTGAGGATAAAGAGGTTATACCATTGGTCCAATGGCTCATTGTGTTTAGGGTAAATTTTATGCTATTTTTATTTTATATTTTTGGGAAAAATGGATCCAACTGTTGAAAAGCTAATAGTAGGGATTGGGGAACAACTAGTGAATGAACATGGGGGAAAATGTGGTTGGGCCAATGTGCTTTCTCCATTTCTAACCAGTGCAGCTTTTGATGGCAAAATGGATGGGCCTAAAATGGTGAGGAAAAGTGACCCAAATTGTAGTTTCTGAAAGAATATGTAGACCCAAGCCCATTATTACATTTCTCAGCTTCATCACTTCAAGGTCAGACACAGATTAAATATTATTTTATTCCTTCTTTTTCAGGTCACTCTCAACTTGTGTCAATAAATGATTTGCAAATTGCGATCACATGCTTAGTGTCGACCTAATTTGGGAAAATCTGTGAAGGATGGCCCCAAGGGAAAGAGAGTCGTTCGGTGACTCTATTTATTGGATAAAGTTAAAATTTAATTCTATTGCAGATGCAATCATGCACTGAATTTACACTAAAATCCAATTTATAGTACTAAAATATACAAATGATATAACCCCAATAGAAATCTTATTTACTCACCTTATCATAGAATGAATTTTTAATAATTAGTCATCAAATGGTGTTACAATAATTCCTAAATAACTATCGACAAGAAAAGGGTGGTTCACTGACTCTTTTCTTTTCTTTTTCCTCTCACAAGTAACTCTCGTAATCGAGAATTGTGATAGTCATTTAATCTCAATGCTAAAATCGACAATTGAAGCATACCATCTGAATAGACAAGGAAGTTTTTATTTTCAAAACTTTACCTTCAGGCTTCAAGTGTTGCATCTTGTAAGTGAAGTGTTGGTTTAATTTTCTATGCAATGGAAACCCACCCCACCACCCCTCACACACACACGCACCGAGTCACTCATGAGTGTTTCCTTTCTCTACTGGAAAAAGCCCCATTCCTCGTTTAACTCATTGCAACCTGGTCCCAATGAGGTGGGCGCACATACCCTCACCGACTTAATTGAATTGTCATCCATGTCCCATCTTCCGAGAGGGAATTTTTTCAAGCGCAAACCCAAACCACATATGGTACTGATTAAAAGTTCGGCCCATTCACGTCAATCCAACATTAGCCCGTATTGGTTCTTTTGGTTTTTTTTTTTAAATATTTTTTGAAAATTTAATATACTTATTTACTTTTTAAAAAGGATATTTTCGTCAAAATAATGAACCCATCTGTCAAGTGATCATTTTAACACCAGAATTGCAGCGTCACATTACTTGCAACTTTTGGTAAATTGAGACTGTTTGTTGCAATAATAATGAATCAATGAGACTATTTATAATGACAGGAGAAAGGGGAAAAAACAAAAACAAAACAAAATTGTCCAACTTCATATACTGAGCTACAGACCGTTCGAATGGGCACATTTTTATACAAAGACAGGTATGTATTACTCGTTTGTAAACAAACTGTCAAACCCCACAATGGAACTCACACAGTAACTGGTGGTAGAAGCTTAAAACCAGGCTATAGACAGACAATGGAAAATGACGAGAACCAGAAAAAAACAAAACCATTCATGAACTCTATAACCCCTTGCAGCCAGGAAGGTCAATCCATTGCAATTGGAGCTCCACTTCACCACATTCCACATTTTTCAATCTGAGGCACATATTCTGGACAACCTTACCGCCTGAAAATGTAACGCAGCTTTCATCCGCAAGGCAGTTCTTTTTCGATGGCAGCACTCTTGTAATTACTGTGCCATCTGGGAGGCCTTCCATATCCATTCTCAAGGCGTCGACAAACGCTACGATGTCAAACTCGGCTTCTCCCATTTTGTCATCTTTGCTGAATGTGTCATGGTCATACACTGTCTGAGAATGCCGAAAGATGACAAACATTAGTAATGGAAAATCATGAAAGGATAATAGTGAAAGTTTGAGAAGAGATCATGTTATATGACCACAGCTGTTTAAGCAATTCCTTGGGTTTATCTTAATGTTTCAATGTTAGTATTATGAAAATCGAATTTGTTTGAATTCTTTAGAAGCATTTGTAGTTCATAGCACCAACTTCGGGAAGAAAATAATAATAATAATAATAATAATAATAATATCTTGTTTGCAATACCCTTCTGTTGGATGGTGTCTGATGCCCTGATGGAAAGAGGACTGTTTTCTCAGTTGAAACAGAATCTTAGTAAGGTAAAAGGAACCACCGGCAACATTTGGCAAGTCTGGGTGCCAGGATTATGAACCAACACATCAAATAGTTTAGTTCTGAATATTTTTAAGTTTGTTAACAGGAAAATCATCACAATTGTGAAGTACAAAACTATCAAAATACTGATAAATTTAGAGCTTGTCTCCAAGGAAATTAAACAGGGGAAAATTAGATGCTTAGATTGATATGTCAGACTTCAAACCTAGCTCCAAAAATCATATAGGGAGTTCCATAGAACTTTATGAGGTAAATATATGTAAAGTACTAATCCTAAGGTCCTCATTTTTTTGAGTACTGCAAACTTGCAAAGCACTTGTACGAAGAAGCTTGAAGAATCATTCAGACATATTCTTTTAGAATGAAAAACATCGGACCAGGAAAAGCAAATCACAATAAATCTTGTCACTGTTTGTCATCCATTAACATTTTTATCCTCCACAAGCATGTAGAATACTTCACAAACAATAGGGAATCTATCTTATAACATCATAAAAGATCCCTAGTCTCTATCAAATAGAGTTTTATGTCATATGGAAAGTAATTAGTAAACTTACCAGATGGACTGGAATATTAGGATCAGAAACAGAAAGAGTCAAGTCTTCATTCCAAGTAGGATTGACATCCTTCCTGATTACACGAGTCTTCAGTTTCTGCATAAAAGTTGACACCCATATGAGGAGAAAGAAGGCATTTCTTGAGCCGTTGAAAATAAGAGAGAGCAGTCTACTCAGTTTGACTCCTTTTGTTTTACCTCTTGAATGCAAACACAGTAGATGTGAGGTTCTCCATCTAGGGGACAACTCATGGATTTCAACCATGTCATGTGTGGTAAATGGCAAGTTGGTAACTTAGACAACAAGTATATTGAATAAAAGTTGAATGATTAACAAGAAATGATGTTCTACCAGAAATCTCAAAACTAGTGTCTAGGGAATCTCAGATAGGCATCTGGAGTACTTAAGTCTATTTTTGAGAGAAGAAATAAAGCCATACTCAGTGTCAAAAACATAATAATCACTTCTAAAATGCGAAGAAAACAATTCATAAGTAGACATTAATCAAATGTCCACAGAAAAATTTAAATATTCTAGGAGTACAATTATGGAAGTAGAAGTTAGAATCTAAATAAATACCCAACTTTTAATTCCATGTATAGCATCATTATTGAATACTATGAACATTGGCACAATCTTATCTCTGCCATTAAGCAACACTAGACATAATAGACAAGGAGCTTAAAATATTCAATGCTTTCTTAACACTTCCAATATTTGAGTTCCTTTAAACGCGTTGACAACTAAAAAAGCTACTTCCACCAACATGTTCTACTATCTAACAATCCTAGATGGATGACAGATTGACTTAAGACCCTAAAGAAGGAAGAATCTAGCAAAAAGAATACATAATTGCCTTTTAAGCTCAAATTTTTAGTCTCCTGACCCCAACTTGCACTCGCTAGGTGCAATGCCACAACGGAAACCATGGTGGAAGGCAAAACAGAGCTGCCTAATAGCAATGTAAGTCTTCTACTGCAGCTAGAAAGGATCTTCATAAGGAAAGACCAAATATAATATCACAACCACAACCACTGATCACATAAAGATTCTTCATCGATTTTTTTTCAGAATCCCAGACCAATTTTTAGACTCCCACCATTGACCATCCTTCCCCCAGTGTGCTGGTTATAAACCACCCTGAACAATTCTTCCATTAATTTTTCTCCCCTTCATCTCCGCTATCATTTTAAAACACGATTGAAGTGGGTACCGCTGTTTTGCCTTTCTCATCCTTCCTTAATTATCCGAACACGAGGAGAAATTAACATTATCATCTTTCTTTTCTTTTTATTCACGACTCCCGCTATCATTTCTTTTCTTTTCCCTCCCAGTTGCAGAAAATGTTTGGTATAGATAAGGGCCATTTACCTAGGGCTGCTGCCGTCTAAAGGGGAAGACCGGAACCGGTCCTACCCTTTGGCAGCGTTGATGAAAAACCAAATATACGTCACTCAGCTCTGCTTAGTTTCTTCCTAGCCTCTCCCAATTCATGTAGTGACAACACTTAGAATCTCATTCTTGATGTTGATTATTAGAGATATATTTCTCTTTGTCTCTATATCTCTGATAATCAACATGGTATCAGAGCCACCGCCGGAGATGTCGGCATAAGCCTCATCTCTAGTGGCGGTCCAAGGTTCTCAATCAAACCCACTACGCCGTCTCAAGGCGTCAACCACAAAACTAAGATTTTAAATCCTTAGTTCTTTCTTTTTTATTTTCTTCATCAACAGCAACACCGAAGCCTCAAGGCCTCAATCTTCACAGTTAAGGTTTATAAAACCTTAAACCCACCATCATCAATCAAACCCAGTTACATACCTGGGTACACTTCGGCCTCTGCAAATCGCGTGATATTCACGCTCCAGCTCTTCGCCACGCGCCCGAAGGATTTGTATGCGTCAACCCACCAGATTTGGTCGTGGCTCTGCCATCGCTCACCGCATCATCGCCAGATCTCTGCCGTCCCATCCTTTGTGACCATCTAACTCCCCGCTGCTTTGCCTCTGCCGGCCGTCATCGATGCACATCCGAGACCCATAAGTGCTAAAAATCCCAGCAATACTCACCTGAACTCCAGCACCTCTATGATAGTCCATGGTCAACTTCTCGGCAGTGCGCTTTCCCTCACCGATGGAATTGACGTTGCCCCAATAAGTCTCGACCTCTCCTCATCGGTGCACTACCGCCGTCCGTCTCCGCCGTCGCCATCATCTTGAAAATGTACCAATCAGTTCATGTCACCCTATTTATTCCAATCTAGCGACGGGTGTATCCCATTTCATCACTCAGTAGAGTTCACCTTCCTTGTGGGTGTGAATCACACAGTCGGAAGATGGGTATGAGACACAAGTCAGCAAGTATCCACTCTCTATCTGTTTCTTGTCCAGGAAAGACTGATCCGATTGGTCCACTGTTCCCATCACCAAATGACCGGTATCTAGTCCTGCAGCTTCGGCTAAGTCGAGAATATACTCTGAAGGAGGAAGAAGACTTCAAGCCAAATGCTTTAAAAGCACTCTTCACAGAACCCAAAGACCATGGACTCTTTATCAAGGCACAGGATGTCGCTGTGGGTGCACTTTTGAAAAAGCGAGGTGAAGGAATGCTCACGGCCGGAATGCTTACAGTCAACATAGTTAAAACAAAGGCGAGAGATTTGAAGCTTCGACTGTGTCCATCATTCGAAGCCAAGCCCACTGTTGTAGCTCATCGCCATTGCCGCTACTCCACAGCCTGCCAAGCCCACTCTCTACCGTCCACCGTAGATTGCTCGTCGGCTGACTCGGTGCTGTTTCAGATCCCGCCGCCGAAATTCGTTGTCGTCGCCGGACCTTCACACACTCTCTGTTGTGAGCCATCCCGTCATCTCTGATTGCTGCAGCCGACCATGTTGATTATCAAAGATATAGCGACAGAGAGAAATATAGAACTGATATATATTGAATTGATATTGTATTGAATATGATATATATGATAACACAAAGAGGAGATATATATAGGCTACAAATTAACGATGACTATCTAAAATACGGCAATAATCACGGCTGAGATCACTATACAACAACTGAGATCATTATACAGCAGCTGAGATCATGGTTGAGATCACAATAGCAGCTGTAATGTTTATTATGTCAACATCCCCCTTCAAACTCAAGGTGGTAGAGTAGAAACCAACTTGAGTTTGGAGAGAAAATTCGGAGCGGAAGGCGGTACCGGAGTTGTGAAAATCCGATACGTTGAGGTGCTTAGAAGCACATTGGAGAGAAAATCTAGAGCAGAAGGCGGTACCGGAGTTGTGAAGATCCGATATGTTGAGGTGCTTAGAAGCATATGATAGATCACTTACAGCAAGTGTGGTAGCCTTAAGAGAGCTCTTGAAAGCAACTATTAGAATGGAATCATAGAGTGGAATTTACTACTTGAGAGATGCACGGATGTGTATGACAGAGCAGGATTACGCTTGATAGAATGGTATAACAACTTGAGATACGCACAGGCGCATAAAGACCACTTTACGGCAAGACCCAGCCATCTCCATCTTCACAGCCGGACCCAGCCATTTCCCTCTTTGCATCGCTCAACACAGTCGGCCGAACCAGTCGTCTTCGCCGGATCCGTCGCCATTGCCGGATGTGTTTCAGTCTTCATCTCCAACCCACATCGTCGACTTCATAACCAACCCACATCGTCGGCTTCATCGCCGACCCACATCGTCGGCTTTCATCGCCAACCCGATCAACCTCACGCTGCTGATCAACTTCATCGCGACCCACATCGTTGGTTTCATTGCCAACCTGATCTCAACCGGGGATCCTCTCACTTCTCAACCCGAAAACATGGGCTTTTCTCCAACCCAGAGCTACGACTCACTTCTCTGTCCCTTGCTTAACAAAATTCATCCATATACCATTTGTTTTGATCCTTTGAAAATTAACACCACACATCATCATCCCCATCATTTTGTCCCAAACCAACCGACGCCATCATTTAGTCAAAAATCCAGGCCCACATGTCTGCCACAATTCAAATATATATATATATATATATATATATATATATATATATATTTGTTTACTTGTTTGGACTGTTCCAAACCCAATTTTTAGAATCGGCCTAGTTTCAGTATTTGGCCCAGATAAATCTTTGGCCTAGTTTGGTTAAGGTTTTGGCCCAGTTCATTCCAGCCTTGGCCCAATTTCAGATTCAAGTTCTAGGTGCTCCTGATATCCCTCTAGAACTTGAGGGGGCGTACTCCGACCAGTTCCCATTTCCGGAGTACAGCCCGCCTAATTTCTCGGCATTGATCTAACTCTATCATGTGCTGTCAAGCGCCCTATAATCGACATTTCTATCATGCGCTTTCAAGTGCTATGTCATCTATCATGCGCTTCCAAGCGCTCTGTCATGTGCTTCTAAGCACTCTCAATGTGCTCCCAAGCACCTCAAGTGGTTATACCACTCTATCAAGTGGCTAAGAAGCATGGACATGGATACGATACGACACGGACACGGCGACACGGCAAATCCAAAAAAATTAGGACACGGACACCGCGAATAGTGTATATATATATATATATATATATATATATATATATATATATATATATATATATATGATGTAGTACTTTAAAAATTACCGAGTGTTACTATTTTTCATCAACCTCACAATGGAAAATATATACAAATCATAACTTATAACTAATAAACTATAAAAGAACAATGTTGCAGAGTTATAAAACCAAATAAAAAACAAGATATTAGAATAATAACTAGTATCATTTAATCATCATTGCAACTTTACTCCAAATACAAAAGCATAGACTGAAATGACTATTAACATTCATGATTGTTTAACATTCAAGACTGTACTGTTAGCACTTAACATTCACAAAAACCTAAAGGCTAACCCCCAAAAAAGATACAAAAACAAGTCAGTGTACTATTATCTATTCCCATCCATCATTTGACCTAGGACTTTACCATTTACAATACCAAAAGGGTAGTCCAAAACAAAAAAAAAAGAACATATCAGCATTCATCTATTGTTGTTCATCATCAATTGTCTCATGAATCTCATCATCATTAACACTTCCATCATTGGTAAATAATACCGCCTCTAATTCTGGCTCATCAAGTGAGAGGTTTGCAACCTCAAGCACCCCAACATCACCAAATGAATCAAATGCATCTCCTGCAATATCCCACATCTTAGTTCGTCCTTCATTGTACTGTGGGGTTCTCCTTGACAGAAGACGGAGATTACTATGAATGAAAACCAAATCTTCAGCCCGTTATGGCGCCATCTTGTTCCTTCTCAATGAGTGAATAAAAGAATAAGTACTCCAGTTCCTCTCACAACATGAGGAGGAAGAAGGCTGGACAAGCAACTTCAAAGCTAACTCTTGAAGCAAGGGACCATATGAACCATGTACAACCCACCAACTTTTAGGATCCATGGTATATCTATCACATATAGAATCACTCTCCCCAAATTCCCCCGAGTTTGATGAAAAATTAGCATACTCCAATTGGACTTTTGAACGCTCTTGTGGGTCACTAAAGTATTTTTTAAGGCACCTTGTTCTCTCTCTTGAGACCTCTAAATCCTTGTGTGGTGGAACTCGACTTTGGTCTTCACTAAGCCACACATCACTATAGTACCTACAATAAATAAGAGAATGCATTTAATTTATAATTTAATTTCCTTAATTCTAAACTAAGATTAAAACTTCTTTAGCTTACAAATTAATATCTAATGATTTACCTTGGATTTAGTGAATGTGCCAAGCAATGAAGCGGAGTATTGTTCTTGTTCCAACGAGCTACAAGTATCCCATGCACCACTTCATAAAAGGAAGAACTTTCACTTTGTCGCTTTCTTTCATACCTATATATTGCCATCTTCACTTTTTCAATCATTATATCCCACATATCATAAACTAAGTGAAGACAAGGCTTATCGGTATCACAAGCCCTTAGCATGTCATAAATAGGTGAAGTAAAGGAAAGGATATAATCAATCTTTCCCCACCATTGTTCATCCAACAGCTTCTCTCTCACATAATCGGCCTTTCCTACATCATCCTCCTTATAGCAAGTCCACTTGTCACTTATGACCATTGCTTGGAGACCACCTTTTATAAGTTTAAATCTTTTCATCATCACAATAACAGAAGCAAAGCGTGTCTCTGCAACTGAAAGCAACTTCAAGCTGACAAACTCATTGAAAATAGCTAATCTCATTGAATGGTTCATGATGAAATTCTTTATTATTGTAACCTCATCAGCATAATCAAGAATCCAACCACACTCTGCATATGCAATTTCATTCTTTTCCACATTTTTTGCACCACAAATATTTTTGAGGGCAAGATTAAGAGTATGGACCACACAAGGTGTCCAAACAATGTGAGGGATTGCCCTTCAATTAGTTGTCCAGCAGCCTTGCAATTTGGGGCATTGTCTGTAATTACTTGGATCACATTTTGGGGGCCAACCTCATTTATGACTTCCTTCAACAAATTGGAAATGAAAAACTTGTCTTTAATTCCACCGGAACAATCAACAGCTTTCAAAAACATGGGACCTCCTTCTGTCATAGCCATAAAATTAATTAAAGGCCGCCTTTGTGGATCACTCCAACCATCACTTGCAATGCTAACACCCTTTGCCTTCCACGTACTCCTAATTGGTTGCAATAATCTATCAATATTTGCCTTTTCTTTTTGAAGTAGAGTGGTTCTCAATAGATTATAACCCGGAGGCAAATAACCTGACAGAGGATTATTTGCAGCATAGTTGTATAAACTCACATAATACGGGTTTCTTGCTAGATGAAACGGCAATCCTGCGGAATAAAACATCCTAGCAATCTCTGAGTGCAATTGTTCCCGAGCCTCATTATTAAATGCCTTCCCAATGGCACCCCCACTTGCTTTTCTTTTCTTTGGTACATAAGCCTCCTGAGTGAGACTAGTAGTACCACCCAATGATGCACTAGACGGCGGCAAAGGAACTTTTTTTGGTTTAGAATTTTTAATTCTCAATTCGGCTTCTTCAATTGCTTTTTGCATTTCTGCAATATTCTGATATGTGACTTTTGGACATATACGAATACCCATACCAGTGTTCTACAACAAGTGGGCTTTAACTCTTGTATAAGACCCCCTGAATTCGTTATTACAAAAGTGGCATTTGAATAAAAAATTTCCTCCTCCACCACCAATTTTTTCTAATTGTGTGACATAGTTCCAAAGTAGTTTGTTCTCATCTTGTTCGAATTGAGGAGTACAACTAGCAACTAATGTAGACAATGACATGTCTAATTCCCTAGACATAAAAAGAAAAGAAAAAAAATCCATACTTACAGCAGTCAGCAAAGAAAGAACAGTCAGCAAAGAAAAAATAAATTCCTATTTGCTACAGATTCATAAATCATATGCAATAGCTGAAATTAAATCAAAGATGAAATCCAATTCATTTACAGGTCAATAAGTCACGACTCACACAAGCAAAAATTTAAAGCAAGAATAAAGACAACAGAGAAGAAGAAGAAGAAAGAAATTAGGAAAGAAATTAAGGTCTGTTAAAAAGGAAAAATACCAGAAAAGAAGAAGACGGGTTTGTGAACTGGGGTTAGTGGAGGGGGGGGAGGAGAGAGAGAAAAGAAAAAGAAAGAATTTGGGGTTTTGAAAAAAGAAAACAAAAAACAAAAAATAAAAAATAGATGAAGAAGAAAGAAACTGGGATTAGTGAAAAACGAGGGGAAAAAAAAAAAGGAGAGAGAAAAGAAAAAGAAAGAAATTGAGGTTTTGAAAAAGGAAAACGAAAAAAAAACAAAAAAAAAATAGATGAAGAAGAAAGAAAGAATCTGGGTTTGTGCAAAAGGAAAAAGAAAAAAAAAAAAATGAAGAAGAAAGAAAGAAACTAGGGTTTGTGAAGAAAAAGAAAGAAAAGAGGAAGGAGGAGGAAGAAAAGAGAGGAGAGAGAGAGAGAAAGAGAGAGATAGACTGACCTGGAGGCTGGAAGGAGTCGCTTTGATCTGCAGCAGGAAGTTGCAGAGCTTCGTCGTCAGTTTGAGAGAGCACAACCCCCGTCCTTTGAATCTGATCTTGTAATAGTGTAATGACTGCCTTAAATATCTATCTCTTTTGTTTAAAATTACATATTAACCTTGAAAGTTTAAAATTATTATGTTCTGACCACATAAGTAAGTAAATAACTTTATATATTTGTACTTTAACCCAACTTTCTTTTAAAAATTATCTTTTAAACCCCCAAAAATAAGACACGCGTGTCGGACACACACCCTGGCGTGTCGGAAGCGTGTCCGTGCCGTGTCCAATCCGTGTCCGAAAATTTTAAAAAAATAAAAAATTCCAGACACACTTTTTGCCGTGTCTGACACGTGTCGGGCCGTGTCCGACGCGTGTCCGACACGGATTCTTTGCCTATTTCGGAGTGTCCGTGCTTCCTAGTCAAGCGATAATCCTGCTCTGTCATACACATCCGTGAGTCGTGCTCCCAAGCACCTCAGGTGGTAAATCCACTCTATGATTCCGGTCTATTACTAGCTTTCAAGAGCTCATGGCTACCACATCTGCCGTAAAGTGGTCTTTATGCGCCTATGCGCATCTCAAGTGGTTATACCACTCTATCAAGTGGTAATCTCGCTCTGTCATACGCATCCGTGCGTCTCTCAATTGATAAATTCCACTCTATTATTCCATTCTAATATTTGCTTTCAAGAGCTCTCTGAAGGCTACCACACTTGCCGTAAGTGGTAAGTGGTTTATCATGTGCTTCTAAGCACTTGGAGTTCGAGGGGGATATTGACATAATAAACATTACACTCAGCCATGATCTCAGCTGCTGTACAGTGATCTCAGCCATGATCTCAGCTGCTTTATAGTGATCTCAGCCATAATCTCAGCCGTGATTATTGCTGTATTTTAGATAGTCATTGTTAATCTGTAGCCTATAAATATCTCCTCTTTGTATCATCATATGTATCATGTTCAATACAATATCAATTCAATATATATCAGTTCTATATTTCTCTTTATCTCTATATCTCTGATAAACAACACTTGAAATTAAAAGAGGATTTCAAATTTTCCTAGTTATTGACTTAATAGAACATTTTTTGTAATAAATATATCTATCTATAGGTTGCTCCTAAAAGAAATGAACTTTTCTGCCAAAAGAAACATTCAAATCTCAAATGACGGATCAGAAAATATACAAAATATTTGATGCTACAAACCCTTCTAGACCCAGCTTCATGTATAGTGAAGAATAAAAAAAACCCAAGGTCATCAATCAATCAAATCATATATATAACAATTTTTTTTATTAAAAAAAAAAAAAAAAAAAAAAAAAAAAAAAAAAACACACACACACACACACACAACCAAATAAACCAAAAACAACCGCAAATAAGACCCAAAAAAGGCAAGAAAAGAAAAAGGTTGATAGATTGAAAGAACGGAGACCTGGTTGCCCAACCTGACGACGACGTAAGGATCACTGCTACGGACGTCGCGAACGGCGAGGTTTATACCTTTTCGAATTCGAATTCTGAGCAGACCCAACATTCTGTCCATAAGAGACGACGAAGCCTTTGATTTTTTTGATTGTTTTACTTTGCCTGGTGTACTCATTTCCCTTCCAATCTCTCCCCTCCTTTTATCACTATCACCGATTCCAATCAAACCCAACTTCCCTGTCAGTCAACACAATATAAAAATCAATTTATTTACATACAAAACAACCATTTTCAACGCATAAGACAATAATATACAACCAAATTTTTTAAATATATATATACTCCGTATATTGAAGATCGTGGGTGCCACTTTGTGGGTCCTACACGCTTGTAATCGTTCAACTCAGGATGTTTGGATTCTTAGATTACCACCAGTTTCAGCAATTTCCTGTGTGATTCGGAAGTGAGAGAGAGAGAGAGAGAGAGAGAAAGAGGAAATGGAAATTGGTGAGAAAATTTTGACTTTTCTGGAAAGGAAGGAGAGGGGGGTTACCGGGAGTTGCGGTATTTAAGCCCGTCACACAATGGATGAGGTTCTAGACGTTGACCAACTTTTTTCATAGAAAGTTATTTTTTGACCCCCATTTACTAACCTTTTTATAGTTTTATGTTGCTACTATCCAACTTTAAGATATAATGTTCTTATCATGTCTATTATAGTACCATGTTTTAGGTTAAGCTCCGTATTTTCTTAAACTATAACAAATTTATGGATAAGACAACTAACTTGAGCTCTGTGTTGATTGATAGTTAGCACCGAATGCGAAAATCATAAATATCATATAGTAATAATAATTTTATTGAAATGTTATTGTAGAAATTAATATTAACAACTTTTGGTGTGTATAATTGCAGTTATTAACTTATTACCAAACCGTGTAACACAAAATTCATTGCAAGGACATGGATGGGGTTCATTGCATGTACAGTGTGTGAATTAATCTCAACTGCCAACAAGAAAAAAACAATGTGAAGTAATAAATAAGATGACGACCAATTCACAATTTGCAAGCACATGGATGACGGTGTCTTCGTGTGGGCCCATTGATCAAGTCTTGCCTCGTTGAAGCCGGCCGAACTAAAAGAATCTCTAGGGCACCATAAAGAAAACTTTGTCAAAAATTTGGTTTTTTAGTTTTATATATGTCAAAAACTTTGTCATTTCCCAAGATTTAAAATTGATTTCATTTACTATTACTATGTGTATACTCACCCGCAAAAAGAGTAATATATGTCGCTAATCCCAAAAAAAATATTTGTCTTTAATTCTAGTCAAAAAGATATATTTCTTTCCCCTGTCGCGGTATAATTGCCTAAGATGTAAATGAATTAAACCCATTTAAAATTATGAAGACATGTCCACGTTGTTGTCCAGCTGGATTCTATCCCTCAACTTTTTATTTTGAAGGAGGAGACACACTTGAAACAAAGTCATTGATGCGTTAATCCATTGATTTTTTTATTTTCATTTTTATTAGGTTAATAACTTACAAACACTAATACAATATTCTTCCATTGGTGTTGGGGTTTGTGTTGGTCCCTTCATTTATGTCGTGCGAGAAATTTTTAAGTTGTTTAAACTCAACATTTATGATTATATTAGATTCTTAAGAACCTATAAACAAGATTGGGAGGGTAAACTATAAACAATTTTAACTCGAATAAATTATTTTTCACTTTAAGTTGATAATTTTCAAATCACAGTAGAACAACGTTAATGTTGTGCCTGGCTAGACCCACCCTCATTGATCTCTCATCAACAGCAACAACTAACTGAGCTATATCTTTTAAATCATGCTTTTGAGGAATTGGTTCTTGAACATCAGCACTCATAACTGTTGAGGACTCCAGTGGAATGCTTATTATTTGATAAGTGGTGACGCTCAAATCGAAAATTTGCACTGAATGGCCTAATCGAATGATTTTTGATTGGTTATTTATGTAATAAATAAAGAAATCAAAAATAATAAATCTAACAATTCACTACAACTACTCCCTACAAAAATCATTTTCCTTATTTAATATAAAACCTCAAACAAATAGCAATACATTCATCAAATCCTTACCCTAAACACCACCAGAGAGCACATTCTAAAATAAACATTCCTTGTAAGACCTTTATGCAAATGACCATATGCTTCTCATCAAGACGGATCTACATTGCCCCTATTGATTTTTTTTTTTATTATTAATTTACCTTTATAATTTGTTCATTTTCAGTTATGTACTATCCCGGGAGGAAAATTACTAAAAAATACACTATTACCCTTCAAAATTTATTTTTGCCCCACTCCTACCTTACATCACACCCTGGCCCCATCCCTGCTTCTCGTGGGACGAAAGTGAACAATATCTTCAATGACCCTGCACAAATGCAACCAATAAGATCGCTTTCACCACCAAGTCAGCAATAGCTATATATACTATACCCACATGCATTTCCCTTTCTGCTAGCTGTAAGCCTGTAACCTAATAGATTAACTTTAAATGATAAAGTTTGTAAAAGTCGTCTTTCAATCTATATGGGCAAGATATTTTCACCTTCAAACTTAATTAGTCATAATTTCTTTTTATTATTTTTTAATGAAGGTCATATTCTCTCTCTTTTAGCAACAAATGTCATATTCACAGATCAGTGCAAAAAGGTTGCAAGCTGAAAAAATACCTTTTTTTTTTTTTTTTTTAAGGATATCAAAAAACACACACAAATAATTTCTCTTTTGTTTTTTCTTCTTTTTCAATTTTATTGATATCCTTAAAAAAAAATGTATTTTTCGGCTTGTTACCTTTTTGCACTGATCTTTGAATATGACATTTGTTGCTAAAAGAGAGAGAATATGACATTCATTAAAAAATAATAAAAATAAATTATGAAAGTCGTCTTTCAATTTAAATGGGCAAGATATTTTCACGTTCAAACTTAATTAGTCATAATTTCTTTTTATTATTTTTTAATGAATGTCATATTCTCTCTCTTTGAGCAACAAATGTCATATTCAAAGATCAGTGCAAAAAGGTACCAAACTGAAAATACATTTTTTTAAAGGATATCAAAAAATTTGAAAAAGAAGAAAAAAACAAAAGAGAAATCATTTGTGTGAGATTTGTATATATGTTTCTTAGATACTGTTAATTTGAAAATATTAGGGATCTGAAATTACAGCATTTATCTGTAAAATAATGAAGATTATATCACATCGAATGGTATCAGTAGAGTGGAATATCGATTGAGTATTCTCTGACAATCAAGTTAATACTTGTAATGATATTACATAAAAATAATTATATATTCAATTTTTAAGAGATTTTTTTTCTGTCGATTCGATGATTGAGATCTGCTTTATAGTTAATCGGGCAGATGTTAATGGTTGAAACTACTCAATTTGCATTAGACACCATAATAATAAGGACCTATGGCAGTGCTAGTTGTATTTTATTTTTTTTATTTTTTTTACCGTGGCAATGTCCATCATCCATCACGTTCACGAGTGTCCATCATCCATCACGCTTAGGAGGTGTTAAATTAATCATTTTGGACACACACAAAAATCACATAAAAAAATATATACACGTCAAAAATAATAGTTTAATTTGGCTAGACGTATATATATACTGAGTATATATATATATATATATATATATATATATATATATATATATAAAAGTAAGTTTAACTGATTTTTATAATTTATTAGAAATCAATTTTAATATTATATATTTCCATAATCATTCATCCTCAAGAATTACTAGTTGATACACAAGCAAAAAAATGAATAAAACTGAACCACTAATACACATTTATTTGTATATAGACAGGGATGTCAATTTAACTCGCCCTACTGAGACAGATTTTTGGGATCAAGGCGGATTTGAAAAGAAATATTAAAACCCGGAAAGTTCCGAACTCGGCCTAATTAATAATTAATATACAAACACATTTTCTTTTATTAGTTATAATTTTTATTTTTCCTGTTAATTTTATTTTGGTAACATTTTGTTATTATGATTGTTAAATATTAGACTATACTTAAAAAAAAAAAATTACAAAATTTATGCTAAATTTGTTCAAGTTTAAATTATTTTTCTTTAAATTTTTTTTAATCTATATCAAGTGTTCGAATTCACTCCGACTTCGATGTTAAATTTGAGAAAACACTTTTATTAGTAAAAAGGGTTTGGGATGACCATTCCAAGCACATCCGTCAACATCCCTACATATGGATTATGGACTTCGTAATTCAATAGGATCAATTTTTTTCTAAGTCATATATAAAAACAGGAGTGAGAGTGAAAGTGTTAAAGCCATAAAATTTAAGTCGCATAGAATTAAAATAAGGGTAAGAGCATGCGCAAAATGTAAAAATAAAAACGTACTCAGAAACTTGAGAACAACATCCCTAGAAAAAGTAGCGTGACTTAAATTTTTCTTCATAAGAATTTCCCATTATGCAATTGATGATGGATTGAGAAATTTTATCTTATAGGGGGACTCACTGTGAGGGTGCCCCAACATCACTGCTCATAATATATAGAGACTACTGAAAGGAATCCTCTACACCCACTATCATCTGTGGACAGGAAATAATGCACCCAGCTCCCGATTAAAAATAAAATAAAAATAAGTAAAAATAATAATAATGCAACCAAAAAAAGAGTGTATAAAGCTAGGACTCTGTTTCATCAACAAACTCACAACACTACTATCCTTCACTTCATGTAACCTTCGTTCACTTCACATCAAATGACCCCTTTGGAAAAAGAGAGGTCTCCAAATGGCCATGAAAGATACAATTTTTTTTTCTTTTCTTTTGGGGCATAAGATCATAGACCAGTTGAAGCCTGAAGACCCCGCATCATCAATCTCATGGTGTCTCAAGGCATCACAGATACTATCTATCAGACTTTCAATTCTAAATTTCTATTATCACAAGGATTGTAAGTTTCTTTTTCTTCCAAGTGTTGTAAATTTAGACTTGCTCGGTTGCTCTTATAAAACAGGTAGTGTTGTAAGTTCTTGATGTACGGTGATAGGAAAAAATATAAACCTACCCTACCCTCGATAAGATTGATTAGATTTCATTATCAAAGATAATGAAATCTGACGTGGTTCAACAGGGTAAGAATAATCCTATCATAATTGGAGGAAGTCAAAAAGATTATTCATATCCCCGACAAATTTGGCAACAAATCTCCTATGATCTTGCACAAGCGGAAGATAAGATCAACCATCGACATCGGCAAAACCAATTGGATTCCAATCAACAGCCATAAATAAGGCACCAAGCCGTTCAAGAAGGTACGAGAAAAAATCCCTAAACAGAATATACATAATTATTATGTGATACGATTACAAGTACTAACTTGATCGTTAGAGGATCCTCGGCCGGCACCCCACCGGTGCCATTCGAGGTAACGTCCCTTTGTTTTGTAGGTAAACGTCGTCGTTCCGAGTC